CTGAAAGTAGAGGACACATAGGAAAGTATCAAAGCTTCATTATGATAGCATCAGGCTTGAATAAGCTGAGCTTGCTGAAGATAAGCTCAAAAGCAAGCCATGTGGCACATACATAATTTAAATGCCTTTTCTAGCACTCAGCATCCAGCACAAGCTCATGCTACTGCAGAGCATGTTTCCTGCTCTGCACTCACCACAAACAAGCAGGGAGCCCCTCGGAGGTACAGAGATGGTTTTTCTGAGGCCAAGCTGGAGCATCTTTAATATATCAAGAATTGTATTCTAAAAAGCTCTGAAATTCTTCTTTTGAGGAAGAAAGTAGTGACTGTGTGATACTGAGGGGCACTATAAATTACTTCTCCGTGTCATAGGATAAATTAGCAGATTTGCTCACACACACAAGTTGTACGTTGCTGAGAAAAGCTGGAGATTCTGAGGGTCTGTACACAACACCATTTACAGACACAAACCAAATAAAAGATGAACACAGTTACGCAGTGGATGGCTTTCAGGCACCAGAACTCAGTATTGTTCCCATCCTCAGCCAGCTACAGCTGACTTTGTTCTCAGCTGGCAAAGAGCATGCTTATATGAGCTGCACCTATTGGCTTTCTGGTGTCATCGTCTGAACATCCCATTCTGTGATCCTTCACAACATTCAATAATTAATTGACATCTTCACAGAATCACAGAATCACAGAATGGCCAGGGTTGGAAGGGACCTCAAGGATCATGAATCTCCAACCCCGCTGCCACATGCAGGGCCACCAATCATCCCACCTAATGCTAGACCTTCACTTGAGTTTTGTTTTGAATTTCCAATAAAGACCAATAAAGAAAGAAGTACTTGGCACCATGCTGAGGCTGAGCTGGGGACAGCAGGGAAAGGCCATGCATGGGTCAGGGAAGGGGGAGTCTGCTTCCCAGATAGGTAAGATGAAGGACTATGTTTCAGGAAATAAGAGCCCACATAAACTAAGACAGCGCATGCAGTGTCTCTTAAAAATCCTTCGTGAGAAGATTTCAAAACTGGCTATTACAGTACCAATCTCCTAAATGATACAATAATTTCTATTCATCTATGCATTACTACTCGCAGAATAGGAAGACAGTATTTTCAAGATATATATCTTTTTTTTTTTTTTTTTTTTTCTTCTGACTGCTCTTGTCCAGACAGGATGGTAACAGATATTCTACATCTGTGAAATGCAATGCTAGAATGGTTTTGCAAATTCTTGCCGTTAATAAAATCATTGAAGCAGAAAGGCACGAACAAAGATAATAATCATAATGTATGGACTATTAACTATTCTGTTTTTGCATTGGAGTGCTTCAGTGCTTTTTACAGTAATAATGGCATAGACTCTGTGCCTGCCTCCAACTTTCATACAGCAAGCTCCATTTCTTCTCCTCTAGAGAAAATGATTTAAGCATGAAAGCTACTTGGTTCCGAAACACACAAAAGACACCCACACACATTCAGCTGGCATCATGTGCTAGCTGCTGAAACTGAGCCCCAGCACAGCTCCTCAAGCACATGTGAGGCATATGGAAACCCCAGGATGTCGGGGAGGTAGAACAGGGAGTGTTATTTAAGGACTCCTTGTGTTTTCCTTTTACACAATCATAGTAAAATGCTACATATTTGAGAGAGAAACTATATTCTTTATGAAAAAAACTGGCAGGAGAATGGAGAAGCTTACGCTTAGTTTGTTTTTTAAGTTTAGTCTGTTGTATTTTAGTCCATGCACCTATGCACTTGGCAGAGGATTCCTTAACCAGAAACTCACTTATAAATACTGTGAATCAAAATTAGTCAAAAGAATCAACATATATAGTGATACAGAAGCAGAGATGGCTCTGAGTTAAATGGTTTCTGAGTTTCCCCAGGACGTATCAGAAGCGCTTTGAAAGGAGAAAGTGTTTCCACTGTAGTGGTAGTGACTGCCTTCTATCTGGGAACAGCCACAAGTTTTTTCCTCTACTGCCTGTATTACACTGGGATTTGAAGGGGGAAAGTTAAAGGTGTCTTCAGAAAAGATGGAAGATCTGTGCTACCAATCTTAAAGAAACAAGTGAAAAACAGAGCATTAATGATGGAGCAGTTACTCAGGAAGACCTGAGTTCCCTTTGCAGTGACTTTATTTTATTTGCTGGAGTTTCTTGCAAAACACGACTAGGGCTCAGTCTCCTGGGAAACTACAGCATGACCATCACTGCAAAAATACATGCTATTAGTCTAAAGACTTCACTGCACTGTAAGAACTACCCACTTTTAAGCACAGAAATCTCCCCAGGTGATAAAGCCCAGATAACAAGGCAGGCAGGGCTCAGCAACAACAGAACCCACACTGGGTGCAGTATCCAAATTGTCTTAATGGTGCTGTCTCCACTGAGGTATCTGCATAGCATGGAACGGACTCTTCCCGAAACGTTGTACAAAAGAAAGCTAGGTCCAAAGATTGCACTGTAATGCATTAGAACATACAGAAAAACAGAAACATTGAAGGAAAGCTAAAAAATCAGGTTGTTAGCAGTAATTTGTATTTATCTGTCAAAGACCTTGGGATAAGAACTTGTTAATTGAGAATAGTTAGTTCCATTGCTTACAGAGCTCAGCCAAATACTTCATCTCTTGTCACAGATGGAAGGAGGAAACTATGAATCAAAATGAAAAAATTAATAGTCAAACACTTGTGTGCATTTGCTACTCTTATCTGACTAAGCATCTGCAATGGACAATAGCCTCAAGACTGCTTAATCTTTTTCCTCTGCAACAAGATTCACAGAGAGACTTACTGAAGTAAGCTTCAAGGCACAGAAAGATTTGGTCTCAGAAAAACTGCATCATCATGTTTTTCCTAATCTTATTAGGTCGAGGACATGAACACCAAATACCGGAATATATTTTACTCCAACAAGAAGCACAGAACAGTTACCTGGTACTCAGCTGTCTGAAGATGGGCAGAGCTGTACTGAAATGCCGGAGGAAATAAGGTGCCTGGCTGATGTCAGCTCTTGCTGGCAGGTGCACCCTGACAGGGTGCATGTATACAGAAAGTGACAGCAAAGGAAGTTCTGCAGACCTGCTCTGAGGCTTTGTGACACTGACCAGGTAGCATTAAAGACATCTCAGTCTCTTCCCATGACCTCCATTCTGTTCGTACTGCCTGGCTTCACCCCTCTGGTAACAGCTAGTGTGGGAGGAATGGCTTTCAAAAGAGTTTTGAGAAAGAATATGAATGAATGAACGATTCAAAAGGATAACCAAGTACAATTTTTGAAATAAGTCATTTACAAGCCAAAGCACTCAAGAACTCAAATTTCTTTTAAGTCAAGGAGAGACTTCTCAGCATCTATCACTTCATAAAACAGGATTTTGGCTGCCAAAGACTTTTCTTTACCAAATAATTCATTTCCTTGTCACAGACTCACTATACTTGGGATGTAGTCCTGATATCACATTAGAAAGTAGGTAATTGGTGAATTAAGACAGAAAAATGGTTCATTTCCACCATCTATTCTGGGCAGCATGCAAACCCATGTCTCTTGTACCTTCATCGTCCACAGGTATTTCTTTCACAAGGAAGCCCCCAATAGTTTGCCAGTGACTAATTTAGCATCTTCCTCACATACATTAAACCCTCATCCAAATGAGGACAAGAAGATGAGCCCTTTTCCTCTGCAAGGTTTTAAAATGCAATATACAACAAATATAAAATATGCCAAGACAGACACAGACAGATACCAAAAGAAGGAAAAGCCGCCTCAAGCAATGTTCATTCCAGATGCAAGGTGATGTGCCAGGACAAGCTAAGAAACTATTTGGCTTAATTAATTTACTTTTAATGAACACAAAATCTTATGCCCTAACAGTTCTGTTTCAAGTATCAGCTGATGGTAATCACCATTTGAAAAGACAGGTAAACACAGGTTAAAAATGAAAAAACAACAAAAAAACCCAACTACCTGGCACATGCGTATTTTTAAAAATCTTGTCTCCAACTTCTTCCCCTCTGGCATTAAGCAGATGCCCAGTAAAAGATGATGTCCAACTGAAAATAAAATGACTGTCTCGGTGACTTTTAAGGAGACTGAGTGATTGGAAAAAGCCGAAACCCTTAGCATACAGCTGTTCTTGTGAATGGCCCTACTGCAGAGTGAAGTAAGAAAAGTTAGAAGAGGATGAAGGTGTCAGTTCTGGAAGGGTGGAAAGGCCAAAAAATAGCTCCTAAAGACTAGACTAAGGCCCAGGATGAAAAGAATCAAACAGAACACTGAATTCCCCTCTCTGCCACTTCTACAGAAGCAGACAGCAAGTTCAGTAGCTAGAGCCAAAGACAGGCATTCTTGAAGTTGCAGACATCCAGTAAAAGGGCTGAGAAGGAAACTTTGCTGGAAATCAAAACCTGAAGGCCTGAATTTATTCAAGTATTGAGTTTTGCTTAGTTTGTGCACAACCACTTCTTTCCTTTTAGAAAACCCACAGTACTTAATTTGCTGTGCATCTTGAGCAACACAAACAGATGCACCTGATGGATCTGGCAGAACAAACATTCTGCTGAGCTGCAGGAAAAATATCCCCAAATAACATTTGTTTATGTTTTGGCCCGCAAGATGTTCTGTAAATACTTAGAAGACAAATGAAAAGTCCCAAACCTCCTTGTGGCACAGCAACCGTCACCGTTTTTCACACTGCTGACCACATCTGGTTCCTCCAGAGGCTGCTCTGGGTGCAAAACAAAGATAGGCAGTGAAGGGATAACTACTTACAGCACAACGTTGCTATTATTTGTTAACAGGTGTTTCCCCTCCTTCCCCAGTTCGGTGCAACTTTCTATACACTCAGTCACTAAGACGTGAAACAGTTTATTCAGCTCTGGAACTGCAGTTGTTTCTCCAACAGCTGATTTCGGGGGGAATTTGAAAGCTGTCACATTTCATTTGGGCCTACCATGAAATCTGAGAAGTGTGAGCCCTGAACAAAGCACCACAAAGAATTCAGTTCTCACTGATGACAATACTTTTTATTACAAAGGATAACAAAGTGCTTTCCACAGGATTCACTTTAATACAGAGTTGTTAAGAAACGCAATTTTTGCTTTTTAAAACAGACAGTTTCAATGCAATGATTTTTCAGTGCAAACAAGGTTCTCCAACGCTCTCCATTGTGTAGCACTTCTTCTCTGTACACAGTAGTTCAGACATTCAGGCATCAAGTGTGAAACAGTACCAATGAGTCCATCTTTTAAAAAACAGAGGTTATGTAAAAACTTTTGAGATGTCACAATGACCAACAGGAATTACATCAGTTTGTTTATTGCAGTCTGAGGGGACATCTTTCCTTCATACAGTCCTACACATCAAGGTGCTTTCAGTTCTAATAATCATATATACCAATATAAACAACACTATCCATCTTAACTATATAGACAAAAGCAAAATTGTCTTTTCTCTTCTTCTTCTTCTTTTTTTTTTTTTTTTTTTTTCCTTTTCTTGAATTAAATTAACCTTTTCCTTTTTAACTAGAGATACACTGGGAATGTCTGGTGTTCCTGATGCTGTGGAACTAAATTTAGATGGAAAGAAGAACACAATGCAAGGACTGTTTACCTATTTCCCCCTCTTCTTGGCACAAATTCACGGTTAGATTTATTTTAACTCTTTAAATACATACATGCAACCTTTTGGCTTGCCTGGACCGCACTGAGTGAAGAAGAGTTATCTTGGGTCACATATAAAATACATACCATAGTTAATATTTGTAACTAAACTTAAAAATATTTTTTTATGAAAACATAAAAAAGAGGGCAACAAAATCATAAAGTGAGGGGGATATTTGACCCTGTTTTTGTGAAACTAATGCATCAGGCTGGCTTGATGGCAGTGGCTGCAATTCTTGGTGAGCTCTCAGGGCATCTGTCATGGATTTTTGATGAAATTTTATTCTTCTTGTGCTTCATTCTTGAAAAGTTATTCACAAATGTACGAACTGCCAAACGTGATGACACAAAGTATGATTGTGAAGTGAGGGGTATTTTTCTTACCAGACTTACGTAAGTCTGGTAAAGAGACACAATCAGATTTTTGAGTTGAGTCTCTGATTGCAACGCTATACCTCAGATTCCTTTATCACAACGGAAAGCGCAGCCACATATTTTTCACTGTTCACAGGACTGTGTTTAGCCAGTGTACTGCAATGCATAAACCTATTTGCCATCACTTGAGTGGCACATCTCTGTGCCCTCCGCCTGCCTGGTTTCAGCCCAGACAGTGCCAATCACACAGCAATGTTGGCTGTTGCTGGGCGATGGGTGTGTGCCCAGGCTGCTCAGCAGGGCAGAGCCACTGCCACGATGGTGGGGCAGAGGCAGCCACAGAATGGGCTGGGCTCGGCCATATGCTGGCCATGGGTTTGACATGCCTGCATTTAGGCACTGCCTCACTGTGTTCCATTTTCCATTCTCTGGATCTGATTATATCTCAGTCCTTTATTCCTTATGTCCTCTTTCCTTTCCTGCAAACAGCAATCATAAAAAACAAAAAACAAACAAAAAACACCAAACCCAAAATCAAATGAACAACTATGCAAATTCTTATATACAATGGAATGTATTCAACCACAAGAGTGAAAGTGAGGGGGTATTTTCCAGACAGGACTGTTTTTCCCCTCTTTGCTTTCAGTCAACGCCATTAAGAGAAATATTCTTTTGGGTTTTAAAATATTTTAAATCTTCTGTGAAGGACAAGATGTAAATAGTCATCCTTAAGAGAAACAATATCAAACATTCACCATACACAACCTTAGTCCAGAAGTCCAGAACCCAGTTATCCATACATCACAAGTACAGAGGCATGAACTTCAAAAGAAAAACTTAAATGGCTTCATGAATGAAATAGTCATAGTTATACACATAATAAAAGGTTACATGCATATAAACAGCTTCCTTAGCTTGTCAGTCACACCCTCAATTCATTGTTCCCAGTTACCTACACGTAGACCAAAATCACCATGTCAAGAAAACACTGCATGCTGTGTCACAATACAGTCTTCACACAAGTAGTACTGCAATGAGGCTATCACACTGACACCTTTCTTCACAAGACAAAAGGAACTGGATGAGTTTCTCTGAACAATAATTTGATTGCGGGAAGAAAGGAAGGATCTTTTTTTTAAATGACAAGATGCTTCTGTAATACAGCCCTTATAGAAGAAAAGAATACACTCAAACCTACCAGTATAGCTATGTAAATACGTAACAGTATAAACAGGTGTTCTGCTTTCCAAGGGATCGAAACAAAAGACAAAGTTTACCATAGGCACTTGAGTAAAGAGCTTCCTGCCACCAGCATGTGCTTGCTATTTGCTTTTGGAGTTCCAGCTGTGAGCAACAAAGCCCTGTATGTAGGAACACCTCCTGTTGCCAAACACTTCCCTGCCACCAGTGTGATTATTTAACCAGCTGCCAGTCAACACAGGTTGCCATTCAGATACACCCTGTCTCACACGCATGCTGTCCTACTGGCTCACCAGAGCCTCCCAGATCCACTCACAGCCACAGCCATCTGAACATTTGGACAGGGGCTCCTCACAACAGAACTACTCGTTAGAAAAGTTGAGACTTTTCTGGCATAGTGGCAGGGGGTGGGCCACAGTATGCATGTGGCCCACAGGTTAGAGGTGCCTGAGCTGTTCGCTTCACTAAAGAGCCATCAGTTCTCTAATAGAAAAGTCTGTAAGGACTGGGATCAAGGGCTGTGGAAATACAGCCCAGCAAGCAACGTGATCCATTGCGTTGGCATAAAATCTGTTCTGCAAATCCAGTTGTGACAAAGGAACTACAGAAGGACTACACTTAACTTCAGAGGTCTTTGGATAAGACTCAGCATTTTCAACTACAAGCAATCTGTTGTTGATGGCTGCTAATATAAAAATATTTAGAAAAAAAATCATTGCAAAAGCTTAAGTAGTTATTTTGTAAATTTTACAATTTATATTACATCTGTAAGTAAATGTATAATTTCATTCTGACAGAGATGAGGTCAAATTTGCAGTCAAATTTATTACTAAAAGTAATATACAGCAAATAATAGATTAGTAGCCTATTTAGTAAAGATTCTGTCTCATTTTACTACTTTCCTTTAAATGTGCACATCCAACTCTGAAATATTCAGTACATCCTTGGTGTGGCTCCTAAGGAGCTAGAGAGAATCTTGCACCTATTCTTCAATCCTGTTCTGTTCTCAAGTTTGCATTGCCCATGCCATCCAATTATAGGTAGGCATTTTACTGCCTATTTTGGAAATTAGTCAATTAAAGCTACTAAATAAAATGGCCACTTGATTTCACTACATTCTTGTCTTGCAGGAGGAAACAAGACTGATTTGCTTATGTATGCAAGTTCTTAGTTTGCATTTGGCCTACAGTGCAGTTGATGAGGAAGGCGTTAACAGCTCCTGTCTATTATCTCTCTGGTTGTTCACGCATGACCCCAGAGGAAGCAGACAGTATTCTAGCAGCACTGTCTGGAACAGCAAATTCCCAAGACTGCAGTTATAACTACTTACAAAGTCCATGAGTTAGCCAAATATTTATCTTCAGGAGGAGGGATGTGGGGAAGAACAAGGAAAAAAATAGAGCAGCAGCAGCTAAGTGCATTTCCAAAACCAAGGCAGAGTTACATTCGTCCATTCGGGACTGTGATTCCTCCCTAGCCCTAAACAACAGCTGAAGTCTTGTGTGAAGTCACCAGCACTAGTATACAAGCAGTTTTCTGGATTCCTGACTTCCTGGAGGAAAGCCTGCTATAAACTGTACTAAGCAAAGATGCTTTTACATGACAAAGCTCTCTCCACGTCAGAGCACTCAACACTGAAGGTTTCTTAGCAAACCTCTCTCATGTAAACCTAGCTTTTTGGCAATAAACTAGCAAATTATGCAGATTCAGAGAACAAACAGCACACAGTCCCCCAACAATGAAACAGGATACTCACATCAAGTGTCCTTTTCAAACCAGACAAGAAATTTTCATTATGAAAAACAAGAACATTGCAGGAATCGGGAGGGTAGGAGAAACAAAATGCCAATAGGGGGACTAAGGCCCCAGGAGTGTAGAAAAGGGTATATTACTTTGGACACAGTTATTCATAATTTTAGTCCCTCTCACACCGAATCTTCAAAGTTCAGCAAAAAACAATTTGAAGCATTGCAACTTTTGATATGCCACCCATTTACTTAAACATCCATGCCCACAGGGACAGTGGATTGACAGTGTTAAAATACAGAATCCAACAATGGGCATCTATAAAATCTTACTGCTGTACATAAATAATGACAAGGCACAGAATAGCAACCAGTCCAAGAGCTTGTAAGCCGACAAACCAGAGCATAACCCAGAAGAATATAACGATTACAGGTTCTACTATCCGTTCTCCAAAGTACATCCTTGTGAAGCCTATTCTGATAAGACTTTTGTTCAGTCCACCGAAGAGTGTCCCCATCTTTTTATAATCGTCTATTACAGGTTCTGTGGCGTGGTTTCTTTGTTCTTGCTGGACCTACAGAAGACAAAAATAAGAAATACATTGTACTATCAGTTCTTATTAGTATGATCCATGTGAACAACCTGATTACATTTTAATTTATAAAAATAAGATATACATGCAAAAAAGCCACTCCTTATGTCACGAAATTGAAAATGTGATACGGCTTGTGAGGCAGGTACAATGTTAAGCATGAGACTCACTGATCCACGCTCAGAACACTTAAGTAACACAACAAAAGCATGCCAGCCTGTCTCCTTTCCAGGTTCCACTCTAGGGCGTACAGCTCTCCCACAGAACCTTCAGAACCACAGGAACAATTCAGAACTAGTAAGCATGAACTATTAAATACTTTGCACTACAGTACAACTGCAGGGCTCTGTCTCTGTCATCTCTGACAGAAGGGCACTGAATTAGACATGGAAGAGGGCAAACATCCATCTTGATATTGGTGTGGAAACCAATCCAAGGCAAGCAAGGGAATACGGACACAAAGTGGTGATACAAAGACAAAGAGGGGATAGGAAGCAAGTTCTGCAGGGTTTCCAAAAAGAAAAATCACGGGGCTTATTCATACCAAGGCAGAAGAACATCTTTAGATGAAGATAACATGGTTAAGTATCACTGCAAAAAACATGCACCAAAGATATTGATTCAGCATGTATATTTTAACCAGATTAGAGCTTGAAATCCCATCTCTAGTTCCCCAATGTCCAGAGATCCATTGCACAAAACCTGATTGCCTTATGTTTGGGTACAACAAGTTGAGCACATTTTCAAGATGCAGGTTTGCTAATCCTTCCATTAGGCAGCAATGAAAACACAAAGAGCAGCTACTCATCAATATTTCAGTCAGCTGATCAATAAGTCCAACAAATTGTCTGTAAACCTCATGTGCAATTAGTCAATTCCTGGATTCAAAGCAAACATGCAACTTCAATTATGTCTTCAAGGATGAATGCCATACTGTGCCCCTGGTTACATGGCACAGACTCAGCAAGAAACAGAAACTCTACCCCATAGCAGCACTGGGCTCTCTGATAGACAGCAAATAATAGATGGAGTCCCATTCCTGCAGAAAGTCACCCACTGAAGACAAAAGGAAGCTAATATTTTGTTCTAAGCCGTACTTAAAGCCACAATATGTAACCCTCTGGCTAACTGAAGGTTGGGCAAACCGCCACACATGATGCTGAAAAACAAAAAACCCCAAACATACAAAAAAATCAGCACACAGTCCCTCAGCTTGGGCAATTTTTTATTTGCATATTCATAAAGATTTTGGTTTAAGTTTCAGCATTGAATCCCAAAATGTGAAGAGTACAAGCAGCCTAAATTGTAATGAATACTGCATTCAACTGCGGTTCTACAGAAGAGTCTAACGTCTGAGAACTCCAGCATTTTACTCCATGTGCTGACAGCCACCCACCTCTTCTCTTTTCAACCTGCTTTTCAAGCACAGGTCATTTTCCTCCCCCAGTGGCTACGAAAACTCCAGCTTTCAGCATTTTGCCTTTAATTGTACTCATCATTCAAGTAACCATTAATTTCTCTTTAATTCCAGTGTCTCAAGATCAGCTTTTTCAAGAAAGGGAGAGGCAATCTCAGGCTTACAAAACAGAGTCCGGATGGCAGGATGCTTGCTGTCCTGAGAGCCAAGTGTTATTATGGGAACTCTCATTCCTCTTTCCTCAAAGATTGCAGGGAGACGGAGCAGAAACATGAAATGATTAGCCTAAGTGGTATATTGATTGCAACAATTAGGGAAAACAAAAAGGATACATTTGCTTCCTGCATTCAGATACCATAGGGAGCACAAACCTATGGGACGGAAGAGGGATCAGAGAGCAGCTCTCAATGGGACCACTGCTGAGCTGCAGACCCATGACATTTGTTTGAGAAGCAGCTCAGGCTTCAAGCTAGCAGCCAGTGCAACCAGGAGGGGAAAAACGAGGCAACAACAAATCCCATCTTTGCCTCGGGGTTATGAACAGCACTCTTCAACATGCCAGAAGCCATGGCACAGGGTGAGCCGAGCACAGGACTGGTGGGGACACCAGCGGGCATGCTTACATCAGCACCCTGTCACCTGGCCAGCTGCTGTACCAAGAACCGCACGTTCCTACACTGAGAGCACCTCTCACTTCTGCAAGGTGATCTGGGACTTCCCTGGCCTTGTCATACTGGTTGGATAAGCTGACAGCAACAATTTGTGTAGGCCTGTTAAAGCAGGGTACAGAGGCAATGTCGTTTCAGTGCTTTGGGGTTTTATTTTCTATTTTTTTCAGAAGATGTCAGCTCACCCTCTCCTTCTCAAACAAGGGTGGAGTCATGAATTCCTACAGCCATTAAATAAAGCTTGCTTCTAGGAAAGGAGACTGAAAAGCACATGCTTAGTTACAAAATAAGTGTGAAGTCTATTTTCCAAACGCTTTAGACATATTACAAAAGCTTTCAGAAAGATAATGGGAATTTGCAAAACTTCAAAGTCTACTGCAGTTGATTCAGGCTGAGTATGCCTTGCTCCAGGCAACTCTGCCAAAACAAGTGCAACTGGAAACAGATGATGGCCTGTAAATCACAGGCAGCAGTTTTCTTCCCTATTGCATAATCATTTCACAGGCTGGACAAAGCAGGTTCCTTCAGAAGTGGGACTAAAGCAGAACCAGCAGGGTGAGCACCGGTAACATTACAATACCCCAGATGGATAACAAGTATTAAATAATAACAAGTATTAAATAAGCATTAACACAACAGCTCAGAGTTCTTTTAATAACTTCTAATGAGATAGTAAAACCGCACAGAGCCACGCAGGCATGCCAGCACCACTCAGCACAACTTCAGAACCAAACAACTCCTCTTTTTCTTCCAAGAGCACGTTACCAAAAGCATTTTTAGAATTTGGTTTCCTTCAGGTGGTGCACAATTCCCAGCTGACTCTTAACTTCCATTGGGCTAATTTATTGTATGAAATCAGCCTGCAACTAGAAAGACACTGCCATAACAGGAAAACATAGAAATGTGTTTAGATTTTACACGTAGTGGGACCATCCACCCACTTAAGCAAGTTTCATTAGTGAAATTCTTTACACAAATGCAAAGCCATTGTATATAACTTCATTGCCTGTTTATATTCCTTTAGCACATTCAAATTAATAGCATAATATTTACACTTTCTCCCTTTTTAAACATGTGGTGCTTGGTTTCTATTTTTCAAATTATTTACAGCTAAATGCAAGAGTTCTCACAGAGAACCAAAGGGGAAGTGCCCCATGTCCTGTCACGCTCCTTGCTGCATGCATGTGGGCCGCGTCCTGCGCACACCCACCGCAGATCTCCAAGTGCTCTGTATTCAGTTGTCCTTTCAGATGCTTGGTGCCCAAGTTTCCCTCCCTAGCTATTAGATATTTCCATCTGCAAAGCCATTGCTGATTGTGTCCCATGGTTCGCTGGCAAAAAGTCAGAACTTGAAGATCCAAACTCTGAAAAAGGCTGTGACCAAAAGTACCCAGCCGCTCAGGCCATGTGGCTGCAGGTTAGATGCTGTAAGGAGAACCTGCCACATCTCTCTCTGAGGCAGACGCCAGCAAATGCACTTTTTTTCCCCAGGTAAAAGTCTCTGAAGAGCAGACGCTGAGCACAAGTTCCCACATCCCTAAAGTGCTTCTGAGAAAAACCTTCCTTGTAAGTCAATGTTTCTCTGGGCAAGCTTTAGAAGAACAGAAAAGGTGAAGTCAGCTCAGCTCTCTGAATCCAATGAATATCTGGCTGTGGCTTTACCAGTTATGTCTGTCATCACTGCAACACTCAAAATTATACGTATTCTGACCACTGCTTTTGCTTTTGGCAAAATTTAATCACGTTCACTCAAATCCACAGCTACCTCAGCTTGCATGGAGCCTGCGTTTCCCACAGGACGTGCAGAGGCCGCTCACTCCACCCTGACAGCAGCAGCTTTTTGAACTTATCTCCATTGGGGCAAGACTGTTTTGGCAATATAGAGAAATCAGAGATCCCCATGGAAGACAACCTCTCCTCCTAAAAACGACCTTGGAAATGCTTCATATGCTATTCCTTAGGAGAGATGGACAAAAGTAGCACTGGACTTCTCACAACTGCTCAAGGCCAATCCCTGCCTGAACCACCTAAGCACAATGCATTCAGCTCAAGGTCTGTTTTCCTCAAAATGCTGAGAGCATTCAGTTCCTACCACAGAAAATTTGCAGCCTGTATAGAACAGCTTCCTGAGACCGTGGAGGACACAGATCTGAAGGGGACACATACATTGCCAATGTGACTGCACAGTTCTGCTGTTAATTCAAGAGAGCGCTGAGTTACAGAGCTAGCATTTCTCCTTTTCTGCAGTCAGCACCACTAACTTGCTGAAGGACAGCATGAGCTTTGCCTTTGTACAGCACCCAGATGTCCTTACGCTGCCCTGCTGGGATGGGCCTGGAGCTTCTATGCACGCAGCCGGGCTGCAGCACTTTCCCCCGCAGGCGATGGAGAAGCTGCCCACATGCAGCACACACAGCATCCCACATGGTCTGGACACGGTGGACTCACTGCCCACACATAGATCATATCAGATCTAAACTAGCACCACTCTGCGTGCCCCTCAGACTCCCACCTGCTGGATCAACTGGGGCCCTCCAGGCTCCAATCCCTGGGGGGCAAAAGTGGTCTGACAGCAGTGACTCATGCTGGTGCCTCCTGCCAGTCTCCTTGAGGCCAGCTTCATCACCTGCTCCCTGCCACCAGGCTAACGCTATGGGGCCACCTGGAAAAAGACAGGATTGAGCTAGATGGAGAACCAGAACCTGAATGGCTCCAAAGTGGCTGTAACATTTCTCATCCTTGCAACTTCAGTACAGCCCTGTGACAAGAGCAACTATTCGAGTTATATCGTGTCTTCCTGGTATTTCACCTGCTGAAGCAACAGCACGGCCCACATTTTTCATAAAGATCTTGAGATTGTTTAGTGTGGGGTGCATGTATATTTGTGTGTGTAATAA